ATGGGGAAAGTGGAGGGAACTGTTTCGGTGAATTTTGAGGTAGCGGCTAAATTTGTTAAAAAATTTAAAAATTTTTTTTTTGTATAATTGCTACATTTTAAAGGATTTAATTTCACATTTTTAATTTTTGATATTATCGGTATGTGTGTATACATATATTGTTGTATGACCAAACAGAAATCTGACATTGAATATTTAACAAGAAGTCCATTATAATATTGGCGATTAGTGATAAAATAAAAAAATGAAGAGTAAAAACCTATTAATTTCTTTTTCTTTTTTAAGACCTAAATTAGAAGACATGATTTCAATGGAAATCGTAAATATTACATTCCTTCAAATATAAGATATGGTCTCAAAATCATTTTTCACAGTATCGGCTATTTTTTAATTTTTTGCTCTATAGCATTTTTAGAATTTTTTAAATTTTTCTTCATATGATTAACGTAGTGTGTATTATTCAGGAGGTCCATTATAATAGTGGCACTTGGTAAAATAAAAAAAATAGATCGACCGTACTTCTAATTTTATTTTTTTGTGTTTTAATAAGACTTTTAACTTATTATTTTTAGATCTGATTCCGATGAAAATCGTAAATATTACCTCCCCTTGAATATAAAGTTTAAACAAACCACGCTCAGAATCTTTTTCTGTAGATCAGCTAATTTTTTTTTTGCTCTAAGGCATTCTTAGATTTTTTACACTTCTCAGGAGCTTTTATATTACAAGTAACCTTTATCAAATGTGATTTTTAACAATTTAAATTTGTATTTCTTATTTCACTGTCATGAACTAGTAATTATGTCACGAATGGCAATTTATTAAATCTACAAATATAACATAAAACTTACAAGAAGAGGAGGGCGGGCCCTCTCGGCTCCCCTTGAATCTGTCACTGTAAACGGTTCTTTAACTGCTGAAAGAATAAATAAATTCTACCCAAATTTTCCGTAGATAATCGCTGAATCGTAAGAAAAATAAATTCACCGAATACGATGAAAATCAAAACGAATATAACAATTAATCGACTACGCCTCGCGAGACATTTTATTTTTTGAAAAGTTCACTTCCTGGTTTATGAAACACAATATTAGTAGAACTAGACTCTCGTCAGGTCGTAAAAAATGTTTCGTACTATTGCATGTTCGCGTGACTGTTTTCAAAAACTAATAAAAACCCGATCAAACGGTAATTATAATTATATTTACAGTGATCGGGTCTCGCAACGGATTTATAGTCGCGCCGTTAAGCTTTCGAGTCGAGTCGCTGAAATGACTGAGTTCGGGGAAAACGGGAAAATATAATAACCACCCACCACCGTCTGTGTTTTCGTTATAGCGGGCGTAGCTTCAAATTCCTGAAATTTAGATCAAACAAATTCAATCTAAACGGTTGAAATATCGGAACACCCAAAATCCAAAAGGGAACGAATCGTACACCCGATTTTTGAGGAATTATACTTTACATTTATACAACTATATAGGTAACATAGTAAATACATAGGTAAATGAATCGATCGAATTTTCGATCAAAAAAATTGATGTTCCATAGGTGATAATTGACAGTAACCATTTTCCTCTTCCAAAAAAGTAATACCGTCTTCTTCCACTGTCAATTTTCCTATTATACAAATACATTATCAAGTCAAATATATATAAATAAAATATAATACAACATTTTGTCAGATTTGTCCCGCTATCGTTAACAGATAAAAATCATCCGTAAGAACTTGTTTTAACTCTCTTATAGATTTAAGACTATTTTTGGATTAAATTTATCCATATATCTATTTATATCATATATCTAAACATTTAAACATGACTTTTTAAAGAAAACGATATACATATATAATTATCGGAGAAAAACGACCCAACTCAAAAATGGTAAAATACATTTATTAAAAAAATTTGGGCGTCTTAAAAAAAGGATTTTCGAAAAAATTATTGTATAGCTGGCTACAAAAATTAATAAAATATATATATTCTCAAATATATTTTAAGTGCTTTCATATTTCTTCACAAATAACTACTCCAGTGAACGATAAATTTCTTAATTAAATATTGTGAAAACAAAATTAAGGAATAATATCAAATATTTGTTTTCAACTTGCATTTCCGTTAGATTCCTTAAGCCTGACACTTATACATATTTTTTTTCGTGTTTGAACAGTCAGCAATGGAGAATCTATTTTGAATTCTGGCTTCCCCTTAACGAGATAGGCACACAAATACGGGTAACTAATAAACTGTAAAATGAAATAAAATTAATCCTGTGTCTAACTTAGCACTAACTTAACACTACTGCAGTTGCTCACGTTCCGAGTTTCCCGTCTCGGGACACCTATATATTTACAACAATACGTTTTGAAAAAAATAAACACGTTTCATCTAACGTTTTGTTTTAGCTATGGCGTGCCGCGGAATCGCGATGTCTTCTGATATTCCCTCCATTGAAACGTCCGAGTTCCTTTCACACATTGCCACCCTAATCAAACCAACCCGTGCACATGTTAAGAATATAATTTTGTTTGAAAATAAATCATTTTTATTATTCACGAACACACTATGCCTAAAGTTAAATCAAGTTTAAATTAATATAAAATATCATCATAGAACACTCCATACAATCAAAATAAGGGATTATTTTCCACGGACGTTGAATTTATTTCAATGTTGAACCGTTTAAATGCATTTTTCGTTAAAATGTTGACATATTGCCATATTTTAACCGAAATGTCATTGTCGAATTTAAAGATCGCACGGTATGTAGACCGTTAAAATTACTAAAATAAATACAAAATATAATTAAATTATTTTAAAGCAGTTAGTTATTTAAAAATTTCGGAGAAATTTAATTGGGACAGGGTGGGCATGAAATCGTTTTGTTGCATCTCCTAAAAAAGTTACACAGCCACGCCTGCGGATATCGGTTTCAGATTATGCGGTGCACGCGAAGTGACGGAATTTGTAGGAAACGCAGGGCGGAGAGACGGGTCCGGCAATGGGAATTTTACAAATTGCTAGGATCATATTATCGCGCCTGGTGGCCTGATATTTGTACATACTATTTGATTTAGTTGTGAGTATTTAAACATTTAGTAAAAACGTATACCGAAACACGTATTATAATATCATTCTTATTTCAGTACCTTACCTATTAAGTTTAATAGGTTAATAATAGTTTTAAGTTCTGAGCGGAGGGAATGTATTAATTTTACGATGGTGTATTTTTTTTCTGTGAACATTTTTCTACCGGAAATTTTGCTCCGATTTCCGTGTGTAACACTTTTTCTAAAAGAAAATCTGACTGGAGTGATACTTTAAGGTGGTAATTTTTTCGATTTTCCTAATTAATTGGAAATACGGAAAATTTACAAAATGCATTATTTTCTAACTGTAAATATTACGGTCTTCAAAACCATGTACAAACCAACTCCGCTCACAATCGTTTATCAATAACGACGATTAATCTTCACGTACGGATACACGTTAAATTTCCCCTTCTTCTTTCCGACTTTTCATCGAAAACAGTGGCCCACGGGCACGTCGCAAGAAGTATGACAGTTTTTTTATTTTTTTTTTATACATATATAAATATTTTTTTTCCGTTTAAAGTATTATATTTAACGTGTATTTTAACGCACTGTTATATATTGACGAAAACACTTTTTCGAAATTCGTCAGGAGTCGAAATTCCTCCCTCCTGCCCCCTCGGTTATCTTCGCCAGCGTCTCGAGTGTAGAAACGTACTAAGCTACACTCAATTCAAAATGCCGGCTTTGCGTTTTTATTTGAAATTCAAACTACGCTTCTGGAAAAATTATTCGGTAAATGACCTTTTTTAATGTACCACCCAGAGAACATTTTTTTTAGAAAAAGCGCTATAGTTGATAATCGAAGCAAGGTTTCCGGTAGAAAAGTGTTTACATAAAAATAAATAAACATCACTGTAAAACCAATACATTCCTCGCTCCACTCAGAATCTAAAAAAGAGTGTTAAAATTAAAAAAAAAAAAGTTTACTGTTTTATTTTAATCACTCTGTTTACTAACTGACACCTAATGTCGTTATCTATATTGACGCACAATCGATTGAAAGCTTTCGCGACAGTTAAAACAGAGTTTTTTTTTTTTTTATATGTCATCTATTTACCATAAAATGCGATCACGACTCGTATACAGGCGTCAGGCACCCGTACTATTTTTCCATACGCTACCGTCGTAATATAGGGAATTATTGTTGAAACCGTCTCATTAAACCGGCGGCTGTATGTATAACTATAGGTTTTTCTTCGAGAACATAATTTTCGATGACGGAAACTACTGCAATAATGCAGTACGACAATTATATTATAATGAAAATCGAAACGAAATTTTTCATAAATCACTGGCGCACAATATAACGTATAAAAATTGCGACGGATCGACAACATGTCTGCGGCAATTCAATACTACGATATTCTGTAAAACGCCCTGCGATACACCGCCTATGCGTTCTTGAAACGTCAACCGTTTGCGTATAATTAATATATTTAATTTTTTTCGTTATAAACAGTAAACAATCATTTACTCGGCGGGACGTACCTGTATAACAATAATGGTAATAATATTACAAACAGCAATAAATTCAAATCGTTTATAAAAAATAAAAAAAAACATCGAGATAGGTATACACACTCGTATATGACGGCATACAGCTATGTTGTGATATATATATATATATACATACATAGGAATATTATGTATTAAAAGTCAACTTTTTTTAATATCCCATTACAACATATTGATTATTGTAATTTATGGTTATTTACGGTTTTACCATGATAATGTTTTATACAGATAAGTGTAGATAAGTACTTACCTTATTCATATATAATATAACTTTAGTTGGAAACAAAATATTATACTTACGATCCATTTTATTCTATTATACGGCCTGTATATTTCAAACGATAGATTGAAACAAAAAAATAACACCCGTGATCAGCCGGGCTCCGTCGTCATAAAGTCGCCAACTGTTGCGGTAAATCCATTTGATTAGTGTTTATACTAAGGTGTTAAAAACCTGATATTTCTTGTAAAAACACGAAATTCGCGTTTGCAAATGGTAGGAGCGACAACCCTCCCCCCCACCCCAAAGACACATCCTTGATACTAAATATGCCATGCGTTTACCAAATAGTATCCGCTTGCTTCATTTGGAGATTTTGTAGGGGTAGTAAAAGTTAAAACGCAATACTTATCCCGCAACAACATGGCTAAATTTATATTGAAATTCAACTCAAGGTTTCAAATTCAACGAAAATTCGATCACTTCAATCCACCAATGAATCAATTTGAATTCCTCAGTTTGAACACGCTCGGTCCAGAGAGAGACTAAAAGTGTCCAAAAGTTAAGGGAAAAGGTAAACGTATAAACAGTACCATAATATAACAAACACAATTACGCATCACAATAGTATTAATCGAAGGCACGGGGCAAGTTAGCGAAAACATAATTGACTCAATTATGTCGAATTTAATACTAATAAAAACGAAAACCAATTTTCCGTTTAAAAATTAAACAAAATTAACCGATTTCCCTTGAAGAAAACGAGTTAATCCATAAAAATTAACGAATGTCTGAAGTGAAATCAAGTAATCGTCGATTGTGGTAATTATTATTTTTTTTTTTTTTAAGTAATACCACCTGACGAAAAAATCGCATGCTTTAAAGTTTGCACGCTACACAGCATCTGGACATTTTTACTGGTCGAAAAAAATGTTTCCCGAGAGTGAAAAAAAAAAAAATAAAAAAAAAATCTCGCGATAAAACAAATAGAGTTGTTCTCCGTTGCGCCGAGCGTCTAAAAACCGCGTGCAAATTGTAAATAATACCGTTAGAAAATGTTTTCTAATTGCCACGAAACACTCACACATGCGTAAAACGCGACTACTAACACGATATCGTAAATAACGACGAGCCCGGTAGCTAAATAATATCTCATAATATTATTTTAGTCGTGTACGAGATGCCGTACCTTTAACGTTTATACATATGAAGGATAATATACGGGTATAATAATTTGTTGCGTAGGAAAATAATGATTTTGAATCGGAACGAACGTATTAATATTTAATTTTTTTTTTTTTTTGCACACGAATATCCGCGGACACCTATTATAAATCATCGGACGGGTTTAAACGAGCGTGTGCCTTAGATTGAAAGAAAACAAAAAAAACAAGAAAGAAAGCGCAAATTAAAATATGCACACGGTCTGTCGCGTACAACGTACAAAAGTGTGGGACGAACTTGATCCGCAG